CTCTTTCACTTTTGCCATAGAGATCAGTTAAATAGAACTACACCTTTTGGGGTTGTCAGGCCATTCAATTTTAGTAGTAAATTCTTGGTAACTACCCAGTGTAGGAGGGGTATCAGTAGTATCCTACTGATGTGGTAATTCTGAGGACCCCAGTCTATTACGAATGAGTGGCAGGTATTGCCCTGTAGTTAAGCATTTTCCTTGATCTGAAACCCTCTGCTTGCATGAGGTAGATCAAGGACTTAAATTCTCTTTTTTTGCCCCTCTCTAAGAGAATGTTTTGAACTGTGACTGCTGGGTATTCAGTGGGAGGGGTCTCAGCCTGGGCTTTGAAAGCCAGTTCCATCAGTGTTAGCGGAGTGTGGTAGATTGACTACAGTTCAGCGTTGAAGGCTTTCACCAGAGGTGCAGGAGGTGGGATGCCAAAACAGTACATTATTCTAAGGAAATAGAGAAGCTCTGTGTGTTTTGGTTTTTTGTTTGTTTGGTTTTTTTTAACTGGCAGATCTGGATTCAAGCCTCTGCTTTAGGTTAAGAAGAAAGGATTTGAAAAGAAGGTCATCTAGATGGCAGATAAAGCCATCTTGGTATTTCCTGCTGGCTAGAAAATTCTTGCTTAGTTTATTGCCTTTTGTGAATGTGATTCTGAAAGCCCAAATGTTTCCCTTACGTGAAAGTCAAGATATGACAAAGCATGTCATAAGTGTTGGTAGCACAGGGTACACTATATTCTGCAGATCCATGAGTGTTAGACATTTATGAAATGCTTACCCTTGGATTCAGCGGCACTGCAGTAACTGGCTCTGCACTCTGCCGTCAATCGCCTTTTCCTACCTCAAGGTGTTTAGCAGGACTTCTGAAAGGGATACGGTGTACCACCTTTATCATTTTTAAGGATTTAACCCGAAATATCTGTGTATGTCTCTTCCCTCCTCTTAAAGGATGTTGGAGCCTCCTGCCTGAAGATGTACCTTGTTCTTTTTTGTAGCTAATTACGTGCTTGCAGGCTTAATCTGTTGGATGTTAAGTCTTGGATCCAGTACACACTCTGTCCCTTCTGAAACTGTGTTTCAATGGATTAATCTCCTTTTAACCTATGGTGTGTGATCTTGGTGAAGTTCAGCTAATTCAACTCAACGAACAATATTCCGATTGGAAAAAATTTCATTACTCAGTCTCTTCCTTTCTATGCTAATAAGCTATGGCTAGCAATGACCTGTATATAGTGATGCTCCTTGTGCAAGTATTTTTGGAACAAGTTGTGCTTACTCCTGCTTCATATACTCCTTAAGTAATTCTAAAATTTATTTTTTTTTTTTAGTATAAAATTTCAGTTGTCTTATTTGTGTTGTTGGTTGGTCTCTAGTATAGTGTGGCAAATTATAAGAACAGATTTCCTTATTTCAAGGAAGTGGTACCTGTTTGGCTAATAAATAAAACGGTAAAAGGATGCAGTGGCAGCTGTTTCCTTTGCTGGCGTTTTGGAAGAAATAACTGATGTAGGCATTGGACTCTAAGCAGAGGTTCAGGGTTGCAAGTCCCAGATGGAGAGAGATGCAGTGTAGTTATTGCAATTAGAACTGGAAGAATAGGGGTGAGGAAGGGATTTGTGGCTTAATGGTGTGCTTCCTATGGTTCATGCTGAAGTGTGGATGTTCATTGGATCCTCTTCTTAGTATTCAACTTGTGGTTTTCAGAAGAAAATTAAGTTGTTTTCATGGACCTTGTGCCCAGAACGTAAACACCATAAAACAACTCAAAAGATGGTGGTAATAAATTGCAAGGTTTACTTTTCATGCAGACTATTTTGAGGGACTTTATTTTGAGATGTGTTATATTGGAGGCCTGTCAGAAACATTGTTTTAGAATCATGGTTACTTTTATGAATATAAGAAACTTACCTTCAGAGAATCCTTGGGTAAGAAAATGCTTTGTGTTAAGTAAAACATTTTTAGTAACATAACAAAAGCAACTGGCCTGTAAGTTAGCCAGTTACATGTGGAAGTTTTGCAAGTGAAGGAGGGCATTTAAATTAGAGACAGTTTTGACACCACTTTCAGTTTTGATTATAAAGTATAACTGAGGACTTGAGAAATATTAGTTTCCCGGTGAAAGTACCAAGTTTGTGCTGTAGTTACATTTCAGATGTAGCACATCTTCTGAATCAAGGGGCAAGAATCTTAACAGTGCAGGGGTAAACTTAAAAGCAGGTAGTAGCTAGTAAACACATAAGCAGAGCAGTAGGCACAGAACTTAACAATTTGGAAGTTACCATTATTATTTTCAGTCTACCTTTTTCCTCTCAAATCACCTCTTTTGTTTCTTCAGTCAGAGTGTAACGTGGACTCCTGTTTTGCTATGACCTCTCAGTCAAACAAATGCTTTGTTCAACTGGCAAATAAATGAGAAGCTTCTTAAACATATTCTACCAGCATGAGACATATGATTGAAAGGATAGTACCTCTGTCCATAAAAAACACATTAATGATAGAGTCCAACATGGAAACTGAGTGACAAATATGAAAAGGTAAATACAGCTCGTCAATCTTGCATAGACTTTGAAAGGCACTGGTAAAACTAGTGACAAAGTTCAAACAGGACAGAGGTCAAAAATGTCACCCATAGGACTTTTCTTTTTTGGGATGGTCTCTTGTGTCCACTAATGCAGACTATGGTTCTCCAAAAAGAGCGGGTAACTTTAAAATTAGAAATAACGTGGTATCACTTGATGCGCAACTGCCTTTTGAGTTTGGGATCTGAGAGTAGTAATAATACTAGTACTTATGTTTAATCTTCTGTATTTTACTTCGCTATGGAACTTTGATCCAGTCTAAATGATAAATGTTTCATCAGCAAAAATAATCTTCTTTATGAATAATCTGCATCTGGCCACTCAGAGCACTGCTGGAAAAATGCAGTCTACTGTAATGTATCATTGGATCAACTGTTCTGCTAGCATGAGTACTGTGTTATCTGCGTGACTTTGCCAGTCACCCTTCAGGGGCCAGCCCTATGTTATTGCTGTCTTGTCACATTTCTTTGGTATAGTTTTTACAGGTATCATGCTTGTTGTCCTCTCAGAAGATAAGACACTTCCAGAGGCACTAGGAGTCAGGAAAAAAGCAAGGTATGAATATACCTTGGTTTTCATCAGTGAGGCTGGCTATTTTTGATACAACAGAACATAGTCTTTTTGAGAACTTAGTAAGAGGGAAGAAGAAATGGGCAGGGGAGAGAGTATCATCTTGTTCATGACACAATCGATGGTAGCTAGAAAACATCTTTGACAGAGAAGTATTAGGCAAACATGAGAAACCACTCTACCCTAGAAACTATTGCACCAAGAAACTTTTCCCTGGAGTCTGGTTTATATGGTAGCTTCTCAGTCACATGTGCTTTTAACTTTAAATGCCAACTTAAGCCAAATCACAATGCTACTTTCCTGCAGCCACTATAGGTCCCGCCTCTGTTTAGGTTTCATGCTGACCTGCATTTCTTATGGTACTCAGCAACTGCACCTCATTTTTCTGTGGGTTTGTTTTCCAGAAGTGTGTATTATTTCTTCTGAAGAAGAGTAATTTTTATTTTAAATTCTGCTTTACCCAGCAGAATCGACACCTCCCCACACACACCTCTTTTCAGCTCAGCATTTATTCACCATGCTCCACTCAATGGCCACAAGCATAGAGTTACTGTTATGCTGACTCCAGCTGGTCAGCTAAGACATGCTTTGTCCACTCCAGCTACCTTTCCTGGTGAAGGTCCATAGAAGAAGCTGACTGAAATGCTTATTCAAAGGCAGATGTTATCATCAGCAGTTAATTTGTGCTGCGGACCGGGCAGTGTCTGGCAATTATGTGCCTAGGACACAATGCTGGTAAGAAAGTGTGCATGTCCTCCTATGAAACCAAAGTAGCGTCACAAAAGGTTTCACTTCTTAGCACTGTTTAGTACTGGTCTGGGGTCACTTCAAAAGTAGGTCATCCTGCAGTCCATCAGAAACCTTGTAGCGTTGATAATCTGTCAGAGCAGCGCTTAAGAGTGATGGTGAAGCAGACTTATTACTCTTAATGTGCTTAAGGTAGGTACACGTGAAACTGCAGTTTACCCAAACTCAGGCAAATTAACAAAACATTTTATTAAGAGTATTCAATATAGCACCACACAAAAAGGTACACTGTGCTTTGTGTTGCCTTTAAGGAACATGCCAGAACACTTTCAAACTAGAAAAACTAATGTGAAAAGCTTTCTTGTTCATCAGCAGAGCTTACTGTTTGCTGTTTAGAGAAGCTATTCTGAAAGAACCACAGCTTTTGTACATAATGTTTTAATGGTCTTCCAGACAGATTAAGCACTGTTTCCTTACCCATTAGTTCTGTTTCATCTTCTGGGGTTTGAGATTTCGTTTAAAAAAACTTCACTTAGGCCAAAGTGCTTTCAGGAAAAGCATTCAATCCAGAACTCTTACCAGCAGATCCAACTAACAACATACTGGTCAGCTGCTAAATTCTATTTCTTGAAAAAGTAACAGAATTTCAATCAGTGGTAACTGGGTGAATTTGGCTCTATGAATCAACCCCAGGCAAACTGAGAAATATTTGTAATCAGCTCTTAATTCTGTCTTGGGCTCAAAGATAAACAAGGGGTAGATACTTCATAAAATTACAGATAAATTGCATCATAGAAAAAAGAATGGGTGGTTTTGAAGGGTCATTTAGACCATCTCCTCTTTCAGTACAAATTGTTATGCTATAATGGCCTGATTTTTTTTCAAATATAAGGTGCTTCTAAAGCCCATGGCAGGGTATTGGAACTTAAGGTTTCTTCCAACCCAAACCATTCTATGATTCTATTTCATTCTAAAGTATTTATTGGTCCCTCACATTCCTTACATAGCTGAAGTTTGTTACTTAGCCTGAATTGTTCAAATTAAATTCTGTATATTAGCTATTACACTATTACACTTACATTTAATAGGCTTTATTTTTCCTTGCTGTAACTGAGGTGAACTGGAAATGTTTCTATTTTGCCTGAATATGGAACACACAGATGTTTCAGAACATCCTTTATTTGATGCATCTTGCAGTCAAGAGAAAGGCCAGTTTGCATAAAGGGAACCTTAGCAAGTCAACAATAGGAACAGAGCCACAGTCAAAAGAAAGTGTGGAATGGACCCAGTGCTAATGCATATAAAGAGACTACTGAAAAACTAAGCTTCCAGCTTCACTGACTCCAGTATGGAACGTGCTTCTTTATACTCTTCAGCTTCTTCCAATTCTTTTTCATTTTCCTGGAATTAAAAAAAAAAATAATAATGAGTATTTAAAGTAATTGACATAGGATTAAATTTAAGAAGGTAACTATGAAAAAAAAAAAAAAGGTAAGAACAGACAAGGAGAAGGCTGAGGTACTCAGCAACTTTTTTGCCTTAGTCTTCACTGGCAACCTCTTTCCCCGCATGTCTTGAGTGGATGGACCACAAGGCAGGGACTGGATGACTGAAGTCCCTCCCAATGTAAGAGAAGATCAGGTCTGAGACCATGTGAGGAACCTGAGCATACAGAAGTCTATGGGACCCAACAAGACGTAGCCCAGAGTTGCTAAGTCACTCTCCACGACTTTTCAAAAGTCATGTCAGTCAGGTGAAATTCTCAGTGACTGCAAAAAGGCAAACATTGCACCCATTTCTTAAAAGGGTAGAAAGGAGGACCCTGGGATCTACCAACCTCTCAGCCTAACCTCTGTGCCTGAAAAGATCACGGAACAGATCCTTCCAGAAGTTATACTAAGGCACACAGAGGACAGCGAGGTGATTTGAGACAGCCAGCGCATGGCTTCACCAAGGGCAAGTCTTGCCTGACCTTCTATGATGGAGTGACTACATCAGTGGACAAGAGAAGAGCTATGGATGTCATCTGTCTGGACTTCTGTAAGGCCTTCAGCATGGTTCCCCATAACATCCTTCCCTCTCAATGAGAGAGGTATGGATTTGATGGATGGACTGTTTGGTCGATATGGAATTGGCTGGATGGTTGCATCCAGAGGGTAGGGGTCAACGGCTCAATGTCCAGGTGGAGACTGGTGACAAGTGGTGTCCCTCAGGGGTCTGTATTTGAACCAGTAATGTTTAATATCTTCATCAACAACATAGGGAGATCAAGTGCACCCTCGGCAAGTTTGCAGATAACACCAAGCTGAGTGGTGCACTTGACATGCTTGAGGGACAGGACGTCATCAGAGGCACCTGGACAAGCTCAAGAAGAGGGCCCATGTCAACCTCATGAGTTTCAACAAGGCCGAGTGCAGGGTCCTACACCTGGGTCAGGGCAACCCCAGGTATCAATATAGGCTGGGGGATGAAGGGACTGAGAGCAGCCCTGCCAAGGAGGACTTGAGGGTACTGGTGGATGAAAAAACTGGACGTGAGCTGGCAATGTGTGCCTGCAGCCCAGAAAGCCAAGCATATCCTGGGCTGCATCAAAAGAAGCATGGCTGGCAGGTTGAAGGAGGTGATTCTGCCCCTCTACTCTGCTCTGGTGAGACCCCACCTGGAGTACTGCGTCCAGCTTGGGAGTCCTCAGCAGAGGAAAGACATGGACCTGCTGGAGTGGGTCAGGAGGAGGGCCACAGAAATGATCAGAGGGCTGGAGCACCTCTCCTGTGATGACAGGCTGAGAGAGTTAGGGTTGTTCAGCCTGGAGAAGAGAAGGCTCCAGGGAGACCTTATTGTGGCCTTTCAGTACTTAAACAGGGCTTCGAAGAAAGACAGGGACAGACTTTTTACTAGGGCCTGTAGCAATAGGACAAGGGGTAATGACTTTAAACTAAAAGAGGGTACATTTAGACAAGATATAAGGAAGAAATGTTTTATGATGATGGTGGTGAAACACTGGCACAGGTTTCCCAGAGAGGTGGCAGATGTCCCATCCCTGGAAACATTCACGGTCAGGCAGGACAGAGCTCTGAGTAACCTGACCTAGTTGAAGATGTCCCTGCTCACTGCAGGGGGGCTGGTCTATATGACCTTTAAAGGTCCCTTCCAACCCAAAACATTCTGACTGTGAAACACTAGTTCTACATGATTCAAAGCACAGGTAATTTCTTTTATCCTATTTAAGGCCCAAGATAATGGTGTCATGTGTGAGTAGATGTAACCTATGGATACCTTTATTTTATTCTGTTAAATATTAAAACCAAGGACAGCGTAACTGGAATGAATAACAACAGACCTCAGAACAAGAGTACCGTTACAAAAAGGCTTAAGCAGACTGACAACTGAAAAAACATACTGTACGGTCATTTTATTAAAAGCATTTGATAGTGAGCTAAGCACAGAAAGCAACCCTTAAAGACTTCCATATTCTTAACAATAATAGTAACTCTGCCCCATTCCTTGTTTTAAGTTTGTACAGCACGCTGTATGGATCAATAGCACCACTTCTGCATGCTACTGAAATCTAGACCAGCTAACTGTCAAGTAACAAGCTGAATGACAAAAGGACCCTAAATCCTGCCAGTTACTGAGCATTTATTCTGGAAAACAGTAGAGGTGTGTCACCTGAGGATAAGACAGCTTGAGTTTTCCTTTGAGAAGGGTTTTGCATTTTAGCCATCAGATGTGTGTACTTTAGGGTATGTATTTTCAGCCTCACAGTATCATTTACGTGTTTAGCTGAATTCTTAATGAGATCAGCATGATGATCTCCAAACTTAGTTTAGTTTCAGTGAATCTATTTGTACAAGATACTATTTATTCCTGTGGGTATTCATATCTTAAAAATGTGGCACCAATGCTCACCTCACTAATAAATCATATAAGCAGTACTTGGCAAGGACTGAGCTGTCTTTGTTTCTTGTCCCTAGCATAATAAAAGTAGTAAGCGAAGTATTTTGACTATATCAGTTCACTACAAACATAATATAGAAATCTGGGTAATCTAGAAAACTGTCTAAAGCAGGTGAACTACTTTTTCTGATCATGTAACTAGCACAGGAATTCAGAGTCCATTCTAGCAGTTCAGTTTTTAAGTGTACGTTGAGTGTATATTCCCTTAAAAACAGCTTCTAATAGTCTAACACACAGGTTTTCATAGACTGAAGACCAAGTCTGCAAATACAGTTATCTAAAATGAAATATTGGTATGTTATAGGATGCTAGGCTTGGGACCTATAAAAAGTAATTCTTCAATCCAGTTCTAATATGCTGCAATTGCACTGCAGACAAGCATGTTTATCCAAGTTCATCAAGGCATTTCTTGATCGGTGTCTTTTGGTGCTATACTTACTAGTAGTTGAGTAAGATCTGCATGTGCAACTTCTAATCTGCGCTGGCAGTCTGGAATCATCATTCGTGACTCTTGTAAGATCTCGATCTGTGAAAATTATGAGCCAGTGAAATTAGAATGTATTCCAGATTGTAAGGTTATTTTTTAAGATAAGTCTTTACTGTGAAAAATTAGGAGTCCAGTCATCATCTAGGAACTTCAGAACAGTTGTACCTATTTTCTGAATAGGCTTTTTTATTAGAAGACATTCACTTAGCATAATTGCTTAAAACTCTGTTAAGTTACAGGACACTTCCATTTACTTTGTACTTAAATAAGTTTAAAGTGCACAAGAGTATTTAGAATAACTTTTCCCTTAGAAAAAAGTACTGCCTGATAAGCTTTCCGTATAGCATTTGTTAAAAAGGCCGTTTAAAACAAACTTTCTCCTGCTGTCATGAAGCAGCTTCATCCAAAATGGGATCAGCTGGTTATATAAATATCTCCTACATCTTTTGGGTAATAAAGAAAAACAGTGTTCAGATAATACCACATAGAGATAATTACTGCATGAAAAAAGTTATTGAGTTATTGATCACATTGTGTGCACACTGCGGGAGGCTCTGACTGAAAGACAAAGGTAAAGAAAAATGAAAAGCAAAGACCAGCAGGCTCATATTTTTGATGCTTATCATGCATAAAAAGTTATTACTTATCCTTGTGCTTCATTTTAGGAGAAAGATTATTCTCACCATGCACTTTGAACAAAATTACTAAACTGGCACCCACTGAATCTGAACATCCTGCTGCCTCCTACAGAAAACAACTTCAGATTTATACAAGGGAACACTTATTTCATGGAACATTTCTGGATATGAAATCCAGCCACAGAGAAGAAAAGGTGTGCAGAGTTGTTCAGTAATGTTAAAGCTATTTAGAAGTGAAAATTTGTTAGATATTTAAATATGAAGCCTCTTTTGCACTCAGGATAACCTGCAACACAAGGTGTTCCCTTTAAATGGCTTACTTAATTCTGTCACTCCTGTGTTGTATTCTCCTTTCAGTATTCATGCTGCTGTACCGAAGGGAACACTGTCATTGTAAAAGCGAAGACAAGCTATAGCTAAGGCTGTATTTCTGCATACAGGAACACCTTATGTAGTAAAATATTATCACCATGTTTTTAAGTGTCATATATTTAAGTTTAGTTCAAGTTATTTTTGAGAGAAAGGGTTTAAAAACTTTGTTTCTAATTTCTTTCAGAGAATCTAGGGCAAAACTTGTTTATTTGTATGAAGCAAAGACAGGTGGCAATTAAAAAAAACCCCCAAACTTAAGTACCCCCAAGTTCTAGTTCCCATTGGTATTACCACTTTTCTTTTAAATATTCAGTGTTGGACTATATTAAAAATAAGACTAGGAACTCTTGCATATGATGCTTTCAGCAGTGAATGAATAAAGGTTTGTAACTTCCATAGAGCAAGGTCTGCCATAAACTGCATGAGATAATGCTTTCTGCTTCATATACTACAAATTTGTTTCATAAAGAATACCTACAGGGGTGAGAATATACAATAATGACTTCCTTGGGCCCATACTGCTAAATAGTTGTGTGTTGTAAAGCTGGTAGATGATATGAGAAGCAGTAACTTACTGGATATATGCCACTCAATAAGCAATCTGGGAAGGCAGACAAAATCTAGAATCTGTAAGCTCTAGTCCTGGCTGCTCTAAGAAAAGAACAAAACTGCTGCTATCACTCTGTTCAAAACAGAATTTGACTGAGATCCAAAGGGCTACCCGAGTTTTATTTACATTTTGCTGCAGTTAAGGAATAAATAAAAAAGCGAAGGAAGATAAATCCTGCAACTACAATTCAGTAGGTGCAAACAGTTGAAGACTGTAACAGAATTTTGTGGAATGAAGGTTATTAGTTGATTACTGGACTACCTATGTAACTTCAACAACTTCTGCATAAAACACATTTTTTCAAGTAATGTCAATAATCTCAGCTAGGCCATTTACTGTTTCAAATGTATATGATAAAGAAAAGTCAAAAGCTCAAATAATTAGATAAACTTTAGGACTGGAATTAAAAGTGCTCTCCAAATTATATCAACATTCTATCAAACTTTCTAACAGAACTCTAAGGAGTTTAGATTTTAAGCAGGTCACAGAGGAAGTTATTACATGAAACTGATCAAACTTTGTGAAGAACCATAAGTATCTGCAAGGTTTCTGTGAATTAAAATGCCAAATAGAAGTATTAAAAAAATGGGAGTAACTGAAGTGCATCTAAGTACAGTATTAAGACAAAAGCAATAAAGCACAAAAGCATGTACAGGGAGAAGCAAATTGAATTTGTTGTCAATAACTGCACATAGGACCAAAAGAGCTATTGTGGCTACAATGAGAATAATGTTGCCTTTTCTTTAAGTGTACTGAAAAAGCCAGTTAAAGAAATCTCTTCAACCAGCCACCTTTCTAGTCAGTTATCTTTCAGGATTGAAGATATTTCTACTAAAGGAGCAGACGTCTGGCATCTTACAAAAGAAAGCATTTTGCTCAGATGTGATGGAGCTCTCTAACTGTTGGGGTGCATATAGCCTGTTTACTAAACACAATATGGACTTTCTGTAAATTGGATCAGATGTCAAAGAACTGGTGTGCATAATGCACTATCAGTAGCTTTCAATCTGTTTTCCATAAATTCCAGATTGCACTGACAGATGCAGAACAGATGCAAACACACAGATCTACCTACCAGTTGCTTAAGTGGAAGGGGGCCATAGCTAAAATCAGACAATTATTTTACACATTCAAAATAAGCAGTAAGGCCAAACATGAGTCTGTGAGAAACAGCTGAGGAGGTATGGTGGGGTAACCCTGACTGGATGCCCAGGAGCCCAACCACAAGCTCTGTCACTCCCCTCCTGAGGTGGACAGGGGAGAGAAAATACAATGAAAGGCTCCTGGGTTGAGATAAGGACAGGGAGATCACTCACCAATTACCATCAGGAGTAAAACAGACTTGACTTGGGGAAATTAATTTATTATCAATCAAATCAGAGTAGGGTAATAGAAATAAAACCCCCTAAATCTTAAAACACCATCCCTCAACCCATCCTTTTTTCCTAGGCTTAACTTTACTCCCAAATTCTCTACCTCCTCTCCTCTCAGTGGCGCAGGGGCACAAAGAACAGGGGTTGCCGTCAGTTCATCACATGTTGTCTGTGCTGTATCTTCCTCCTCAAGGGGAGGACTCCTCACGCTCT